AGGGAGCAGCGGAGGGACTGAGGACCTAAGTGGCCAGAGCTGCCCTCGTCAGTGGCTGGTGCCTGCTGTCCTCACGTCTCTCTGCCTTCCTCAGGTGACGAGTCTCCCGAGGGCCCTGCACCCACCTGCAAGCATTTCAGACAGCGTCACGGGTGCCTGGAGGCTACCCCTAAACCTCGTTCTAAGCCTGCCCAGAGATGACTAAGGGACGCTCCTGTACCTCTCTGAAGAGGCAGGAAGCAGGCTCTGGGCGCTGGCCACTGGCCCTCTGCCTCAGGACAGCCCTGGTGGCAGTTTCCTTCCTTTCTGCTCATTTCATTTCAATACATCAAGCACCTCCTCTACATACCAGGCTCTTTGCTGGGTGGCAGATGCCCCCAAGCCTATCCTGGCGGGCCTGAGCAATGAGCACTGTATGCCAGGCGCTGGGCCCAGCCTTCACTTCCAGGGTTAACCCGCCCCGCTCTGGCCACCTGGATCCTTGAATGAATGGGAGAATACGGCTGATCTCCAGAGAACAGCATTCTCTCAACCTCTTCTTGTCGCACCAGAGATGGCCTCCTCGAAGGCGTGCTGGCAGAGCTGGCCTGGCCCAGTGGGCAGCCCTGTGAGGCCGCAGGGGCGAGGAGCCGCCAGCCATACCACATGGCTTTCCTGGAACAGAGTTGCCTGAGCCTGGCCAAGCTGCCTTGAGCACCAGGGCTGGAGTCCATTGCAGGCACAAGGCAAAGAATTGTGTCTTGAGGGAGGGCCCGGAGGAAGGCAGGCGGAAGGGAGGGTGGGGAAAGGACAGCAGGGAAATGAAGGGGGCTGTGAAAGACCAGCACCAGATGAAAGTACTGAGATGTTCAGGACGGGCCTGATTTCTTTATCTTAGGGGCTGGGACTGCCAAGAGGCCCCGGGAAAAGACTGTAGGCTTCACTCCCACCAGAACCAGCACCATTTGAGGGGCATATCTCAATCCTTCCTTGTCCAGGCAAGCAGGCAGGATGCCAGCGCTGGAGAAAGGGGAGGAGGAGGAACGGTGGGCAGGCCTTTCCTGATGGAGGTGGACACACTGGGGGCACTAAGGTTCAAGGCCACACAGTGAGGAGTGCAAAACCTTAACTGTCTCCTTGCATTGGCTGATGGCAGAGCTTTAGTTATAGCCATTTCAGGGAAATCCTGGTCAGTTAAGGTTTTCTAGTGCAGTTGGGATTTTTGCCTATATTTCCAGATGCCTCTGAGGTCCTATGGAGCGTCCAGGTTTCGCAGCTGGGGGAGGGGCATCTGGTCCCCGATCATCTATGTCCATGCTGGCTTATGCAGGGGTGTCCTGCCCTTCTGCATCTCCCTCAGGGACTTGGGGAACCTTGGATGGTGTCTTTCTTCATACTGGGGCTGCAGGGGGCTCAGGACACTGCCTCTGTCCCGCTATTCCTCCATGACAATGATAATAACAAAATATGTGTTATTTACTAAGTACACGCCCTGTTCTAACTGCTTAACACGTATTAACTCAGTCTTCCCAATACGACATCAGGTAGGTGCCACTGTCCCCCCTTTACAGATGAGAAGTCTGAGGCACAAAGGTGAAGAACTTGCCATGCCAGCTCTCCTCCCTGCACTAGAGAAAGTGTTGTGGGGTGGGCAACAGGGTTGCAGAGAGCCCCTCGAGATCTTGCAGTCAGGCTTGGGGACTGAAGAACGTTGTCTCAACCTCTCATCTCTGTGGAGAGTTCTAGGGCTATTTTGAGACTTGAGGGCTAATAATGACCTCTTTCCTTCTGAGCCTCCACGGCCTCCCTTCCCAAAGCAGTGGAGGGACACCTGGGTCTCCTGGGTTGTGGGGTACAATGCGTAGATTAAAGTGGGGCTTGGCTGATGTATTAGACATTTATACCATTGGGAAATGCTTTATTTTCTATTTTATTAATATTTATTTTTATTTTTTATTTTTTGAGACGGAGTCTTCCTCCGTCACCCAGGCTGGAGTGCAGTGGCTCGATCTCAGCTCACTGCCTCCCGGGCTTAAGTGATTCTCCTGCGTCAGCTCCCTGAGTAGCTGAGATTACAGGCACCCTCCACCAGGCTTGGCTAATTTTTTTTTGTTTTTAGTAGAGACCAGGTTTGACCACGTTGACCAGGCTGGTCGTGAACTCCTGTCCTCAAGTGATACCCCTGCCTCGGCCTCCCAAAGTGCTAGGATTATAGGCGTGAGCCACGGCACCTGGCCTCATCACTGCCTTTTAATAAATGAGGCTGTCCTCTTGGAATCTCAAGCCATGAAAAGCTCCATATGGCAGGCAGACTCCTGCCAGGAAATCAAATTGATAGCGTGGGTAGTCACCAGCCCTGCAATGTCTACCCCACCCTGGACCTCATGGAAAGCATTCCTGGTTGGGTTAAACCCCTGAAACAGTGTTTCGTAGAGAGAGTACAGTTTTGGCCAGGCGCCGTGGCTCACACCTGTAATCCCAGCACTTTGGAAGGCCAAGGTGGGAGGATCATGAGGTCAGGGGATCGAGACCATCCTGGCCAACATGGTGAAACCCCGTCTCTACTAAAAACACAAAAATTATCTGGGTATGGTGGCGAGTGTCTATAATCCCAGCTACTCGGGAGGCTGAGGCATGAGAATCACTTGAACCCAGGAGACAGAGGTTGCAGTGAGCTAAGACCATGCCACTGCACTTCAGCCTGGCGACAGAGTGAGACTCCATCTCAAAAAAAAAAAACAAAAAAAAGAGTACAGTTTTCAAAAACCTAATGATTTTCTGATGTAAACCTGTGATGGTCTTCTCAGCTGCCTCAAACACTGTCACATCCTACTGTGGATTCGAGCTGTCAGGATGTTTACATGGCCACCTCCAATTCCATTCAGCTCTCTACAAAACTTATTTTTAGATGTGCACTGTCCCTTCTTATACATTCCTCAGTACTGGATCCTGGACAAATCTTTAGTCAACCTTAAAGTTCAGTTCAAATGGCTCATTTTCTCATAGAGCTTGAGGCTATGTTTGTTGAGTGGAGGAACTTGAGGTTTTAGGAATTTTATTTAGATCATGGAGATATTTTCAACTCGAATGGCTCTTAACTTTGATTTTGGGTCTAGGCTGCCTGGTTGAACCTACTACTGGTTTTCTTTTTCTTTTTCTTTTTTTTTCTTTTTGAGACGGAGTTTTGCTGTGTTGCCCAGGCTGGACTGCAATGGCGCAATCTCGGCACACTGCAACCTCTGCCTCCTGGGTTCAAGCAATTCTCCTGCCTCAGCCTCCCAAGTAGCTGGGTTTACAGGCATGTGCCACCATGCCTGGCTAATTTTTTTTGCATTTAGTAGAGTTGGGTTTTCGCCATGTTGGTCAGGCTGGTCTCAAACTCCCGACCTCAGGTGATCCACCCACCTCCGCCTCCCAGTGCCAGGATTACAGGCGTGAGCCGCTGTGCCTGGTGAACCTACTGGTTTTCAAGAGTTGCATCACTTTAACTGGAACATATCAGAAGAGTGGGACCAGATTTTAAGGTGATTCAAGCCTAGCCTTCCTAAAACCCTACTGACTCCTTAATTCAGCTCAGGGCACCCCTTTGCAGCAAAATCTCACCCTTTGAGACCCCCAGGAGAGGGTGGGTCGGGGAAGCAGGGGCCTCTCCTGGTCTGAGAAGTCTTAAAGGCAGGGGGGAGAAGTGCCACCTCCTCTTCATTTCATCTTTCTCTCTCGTCCTCCTCTCTCAGCCCTTTTTCTGTCCCTCCCTCCATTTTTAATCTGTAGAGGCAATGAGCCTCAGCAAATTTATCCAGTTGTGTAAACGTTGCCACAAAGCAGCTTTATAACACCTCCCTCACCCCCAAAAGTCTCCTGGACCCTATTTGCAGTCAATTCCTGCCTCTTTCCCAGCCCCCAGCAACTACTGATCTGCTTGCTGTCTCCGTAGTTTTGCCTTTTCTAGAAATTGTATAAATCATGTACTACATAGTCTTTGCTGTCTGGCTTCTCTCACTTAGCATAACGTTTTTGCATGTACCATAGTTTGTCCCCTCCATCTTTTATTATCATTATTATTATTTCAGACAGAGTCTTGTAGCCCTGTCTACAAGGCTGCAGTGCAGTGGTGTGATCATGGCTCACTGCAACCTTGACCTCCTAGGCTCATGTGATCTTCCTACCTCAGCCTGCCGAGTAGCTGGGCCCACGAGGGCGTGCCACTACACATGGCTAATTTTTAAAATTTTTTCTGTAGAGACAGGGTCTTGCTATGGCCCAGGCTTATCTCAAATTTCTGGGCTCAAGCGGTCTGCCTGCCTTGGTCTCCCAAAGTGCTGAGATTACAGGCATGAGCCATCATACCTGGCCCTTTTATTATTTATTTATTTATTTATTTTTCATATGGAGTCTTGCTTTGTTGCCCAGGCTGGAGTGCAGTGGTGCAATCTCAGCTCACTGCAACCTCTGCCTCCCAAGTAGCTGGGACTACAGGTGTCCACCACCATGCCCAGCTAATTTTTTTTTTGGTATTTTTAGTAGAGACGGGGTTTTGCCATGTTGGCCAGGCTGGTCTCCAAGTCCTGACCTCAAGTGATCCATCCTCCTCAGCTTCGCAAAATGCTGGGATTACAGGTGTGAGCCACCACGTCCAGCCCTTTTATTATTTTTTGGCTTAACTTTGTTTCTCCCTCTCTCTCACACACACACGTACTCAAATACACTCATGCACACATAATTTTCTCACTAACCCTCTGACTTTTCACCCCAAGTCCTGACTTGGTCTTTGGGTCCTAAGATGCAATTAGGAAAAAAAGTGTGGAGTCCACACCCCAACTGGGTCCTAAGTGGGTACTACAGGGGCAGCCACCATCCAGCCTGCCCCAGCCCATGGGGGCCCAGGATGTAGCATCCCCAGTGATGGCGGGAGCGAGGGAGAAGTGGAGGTGAGGTGGGGACTGTGAGATGTGCTTCCCTCTTCCTCCAACTTGAGACCCTCGGCCTCTGACCAAGGCAAGTGAAATAAGCACGAACAAAACTGGGAGAATAAAGTCAGTTTACTGAATGAATACATGGCTTGAGTCCACTCAGGGTGGAGTGAGGCCTGGCATGCGCCCTCAGCAGTGGGACCCCAGGCCACTGGACCTGGCAAGGCTTCTGGGTCCTCTTGGGCTTCTGGGCTAAGGGGGCAGCAGCAGGCCAGCCTGCCAGGGGCTCCACAGTCCCAGGCTGCTTGACCTGTGCTGTCTGGGACTAGACCGGTCGCTGTGGCTGCCCATAGATGCTCAAGGCAGACCCTAAAAGAGAGTGGCACAAGGTGAAAATGCTAACTGTGAACACCTGGTTTCAGTTTCAGTAAAGAAGAGGAGGAAGGGAGGCACTTGGGGACGTAGACAGAAGGGCTGGCGGGAGAGGGCTCCGCCGAGCTCCATGGTTGGCTTCCTTGCTAGACGACCCGGCTTTGAGAAATGCTGCCTTCATTTCCATCTCCCAGCTCCGAATCTGGAAGGCAAGAAGATGTTTCAGGCCGGAGGGCTGCAGCAGACTGTGGGGTCTGTCACAGGGGGCATGGCACTGCCGCTCCGTCATTTCCCACCCCAGCCCTGAGGGCCAGCCACCCACATGGCCACAGTGCCTGGAACAGCTTGGGGAACAGAGACCTGCAGTCTGGGGCTGGGGAATCTGCAGACCGCCCCATTGGGGTTTCAGCCACACCAGCTTCCCCCAAAGACAGCATCTTGGTCATCTCCACATCCCGACATAGCCTGGTGCAGCACTTGTTTTCAGGCTGAATACCTGCGGGGGCCATTGCTTCCTCTCAGGGTAAGACCCCACTTGAATCCCCGTTTCCTAATTTGGCAGGGAAGGGGGAACTGACTCAGGGGTTTCGAGTCTTTCGGAAATCAATGGCTGGAGGCAGAGGGACGAGTGACAGGAGGGAGAAGGGAGGGACAGCAAGAGGCACTGGGTGGCAGTACAATCCAAGTGGAGGAGGTGGAGTTGGTGTGTGTGGGGGTCTCCTTTATTCTTGGGGGAAACTCTTGTTCTCAATGTGTTTCTTTCCCCCTTGGCTTGAGTGAATGATCCCTGACAATTTAGAAACAGTTTAGGCTGGGCGCAGTGGCTCACGCCTGTAATCCCAGTGCTTTGGAAGGCCGAGGCAAGTTAATTACTTGAGGTCATAAGTTCGAGACCAGCCTGGCCAACATAGCAAAACGCCGTCAACGTAATCTGTAATCTCTATTGCTTAGGAGGCTGAGGTAGGAGAATCACTTGAACTTGGGAGGCAGAGGTTGCAGAGAGCTGAGCCACTGCACTCTAGCCTGGGCGACAGAGCGAGGCTCCATCTCAAAAAGAAAAATAAAAAAAGAAAAAGAAAAAAGAAAAGAAAGAAAGTTTCTGCCTGTTGTGGAAGAAACTGTTGCAAGGAGCAGGAGCAACTGACATGCCCCCAATCCTACCTGGACCCTCTCACCCTTTCAGTTCAACCCAAGGAAGCCCCAGCCCCTGAGCTGCCTCCATCCCCTCATCCATCCTGTGCTTTCTCTAAAAGCCAATAGCCTTGACTGGGTGTTTGGTGAGGCGCTCTGGCCCAGTCTTTGGCCAAGGGCACTCATGCCCGCCCCTGTCCTCATCTGTTTGCATATCTGCATATTGGACCCTCCCCCCACCCCTTGTCTTGGTGACACTGGGAAGTTATTTGTGCTACTGGGAAGCAGCTGTCCTGGCGCTGGCTCCTGCACACACCCAGGGACTCTCCCCAGCTGCCCTAACTTCGGTTTCACTTGTGGCATTTGTGTGAGGCTTTGGTTCTCACATGCAGGGGAGGGGACCTGGTCAGCAGGCTGGCATGGGCACCACAGAGCCACAAAGAAGCTGGCACCTCTCTGTGCTACCTGGTGTGCCCTGATGTTTTGCCTTTTCCTCCTGTGTACCTGAACCGAGCTAGGGCAGCAGGTCACAGATGTGACTCAGCTCTGGCAACCCATATTAACAAAGTGCTGCCAACCAGGCGAGTCATGCTAGGATGCCAGGGGACCAAGGGAGTGTGGCCTAAGGGGGAGGCTGGATGCCCGTGGCTCTGCCACTGGCTACCCTGGCTCTTGTCTTGAGAATGGCTCTGGCGGGAAGCCAGGCCAGGGTTGCGACTGGTCAGCACCCCAGGATGATCCCTCTGTGCTGGGTTCTCCTTGGCCTTGGTTGTGCCCACCCACGTCTGGGGCGTGAGAAGAGCTGGGGGCAGGTGGAGCGGGCCTGCGCTTTCAGGGGAGAACTGGCTGTCTCCCCTGGGGCTGAGAGCGGCAGGGGAGGGGTGGTGATGGGCTGGATCCTCGAGCGGGTCCCAGCTCCCGGAGGAAGGATGGCAAATGAGTGGGCGTCGCTCCCTCTGTGGGACCATTTGCCTCGGAGCAGCACGGAAGCGCGGCAGGTTCCCTGCCTCCCGTGGACACTCTTTTTGGAGCACCACCCTAGGGATGCTCTTCTGCTCTCCAGAGACGTGGGTCTTCCCTGGGGCCCGGGCTCGGAGGCCAGGGTGCCCCAAGCCCAGGCTCCAGGGTGTGTGGGAAAGGCTCGGTCCTGCTCGGCGCGGCCCTCCCTGGGCACTAGGGGTCGCCCCTGCCCAGCGGAAGCCACGTGGGCGCGCCCGGCCGGCGCAGGTTTCCCCGGACCGGGAAAAGCGAGGCGTCTCCGGGGCGGGGCTGGGGAGGGGGCGCCTGGGCGCAGCGCCGGGACTCTGCCCTGCCCTCCCGGCCGCGGCTGGACGGAGCGCGGGGCCGCAGCGACCAGGTCGGGCTCCCCGTCGCACCCCTTCCGGAGCGGGAGGCCCTCGCCGAGGCAGACCCTGGGACGCGCGGGGCGGGCGGCGGCGGGGAGCCGCGGGGCCGAGGCGCAGGGCGTTTTCCCCGGAGGTGCTGCGTGCGCCTGCGACACAAAGGTCTTTTAAAGACCTCGCAGCGCCCTTCCCGGCTGCGGAGGCGGGAGCAGCAGCTGCGCCCGCCTGGGGGAAAAGGCCGGGGTCGGGGGCGGCAGCGTGAGGGGGCGCTGGGAGCGGCCGGACCCCGCGGTGGCGCTCGGGCTGGGACTCCCGGGCTCCTTTTGTGAGCGAAAGGCAGGGCCTTTCCCGGGTCTCTGAAAATGGTCAATTCGGCTTCGCAGGGCTGCGTGCCCGGAATAATAAATTGGCTTCTCTTGCGTCGTAATCCGGGCCCCACCCCGAGCAGCTCTGAGCTGGTTCGCGCCTTCCGGGCAGGACTATTGGGGGTTCTCAAAAGCACCCCGCGGTCGGCTGTGTCCGGACCACCGGGGTCCGGTTTGAACGCGATTCCAGGGCCCCACCCCATCGCCAGAAGCGGAATCTCGGGGCGGGGCCCAGGAATCCGAGTTTTTGGTGAGTTTCCCGGGTGATTCTGATGGCAAAGCCCATGTGGGAGCCACTGTTCTAACGGCTTTTGGGACAGGCAGTTGTGAAATTTTCCCCCAGAAGAATCTCTGGGGACCCAATTGTCATACACCCCTCTGTTCACTGCGGTGTTGATTCTGCCTCCTGATGAAGTTCTTCCCGAGTCTGACTTCGAGCCCGCCTGCTTTATTGAGCACGTTTTTCTCCAGTCGGTTTTTTTTTTTTTTTTTTTTTAAATGGAAAAAGGAACAGGGAGAAGACTTTTCTCGAACCTGTTTGCAGAGAGCCGTCTTGCCCGCTTTGAGGGCCCTTTCTCGGGAGACCTGTTTGCTTTGTTCAGCCTCTGAATTCAGCAGACCCAAAATCCACCAAGGCCACTAGCTTGTGAGTGAATGTGGTCCCTTCAGGTAAGGGCCAGACAGCCCCTGCCAGGGCTTGGGGAGGGTTTCCCTAGAGGAATCCTGGCAGTAAAAAAACCAACCCCCAAACTCTCCAAGTGCTGGACGCTGGAGAATCCCAGCAAGGAAAAGGAACAAATCTTATCTCATGCCGGAAGATAACCTCTTCCCTTTGTTGGCGCTTTTCCTTGCGTTCAGGATGAATTAAAATTCTTATCTGCTCTGCATCCAGTGAACTTGGCCTGGCCTTCCTGATTGTTTGCTGCGGCTGACTTTCCCAAGCTTTGTGGGGTTATTTTTGCCTCTGGGTGGTGGTCATTCCTTCCTTCCATGGCGTTAGGTTCAACACAGTCACAGAAAAAGAGAAATTTAGCAAACACCCTCAAAATGGCAGGACTGGGCCCCAAAACCTACTTTCATTTTCCTCTGTTCTGGGTTGTGGGTAATTTCTTGACAACTACAAGAAAGAAGACAACGAGAAGTGCATTGTTATTCCAATGCAATTGTGAACAGATGTATAACCTCCTAGTTGCAGGAACGTTCTAGGAATCCCTTACACCACCTTAAAGGGGCAGGGAAACGGGCAGAGGTGCTGAGGGCTGGTGAGTGCTAAGCATTGGCAGGGCTCAACCTCATCCTAAGGAGAGCTGCAGCCATAACCTGGGTCACCTTTGTTGTCTCGGGCTTCTAAATTTGGCAGCGAGAACAGACTCGCTTCCTTTGAGCAATTGATCTGAATAGCAGAATCCCATTCTGATGATCCGAATCACATTTACAGGCTGTGGGGGTGAAGGCCGTGCTAATTGGCCACTTGCCTCACCACTGGCTTTGAAACAATCACTTGTATTCTCTGCCTGGCAGGAAGCAGCAGACCCATCAAGGCCCTGGGCTCGCTCTTTGTTCTGACTTTATGGCATTTTATGCCACAGTAAGAAACACTGTGTACTCCGTGGGAGCCCATTGTGCCAGGCTGCAAGGATGTGGGCCCCGGCGCAGAGGGCCTGGTGCTCTTCCCCAGGAAGAAGAGGGGCTTTGTGACAGGCTGGGGGACAAAACAAGGGGTGCTGGACACTGTTACTGGGGCAACTGCCTGGCCAGTGTGGAGGCAGCTTTAGTCCCTGAGACCGTTTCTGTGCCCAAGGAGAGGGAGGGCAGGGGAAGGATGGAATTTCGTCTAGAGTAGCAGGTCCTGGTTACCTGGTAAATTATGCATCAGGACTGGGCTAGCCATTGCCTCCGTTTTCTCTGGGCTCCCGAGACAACCTCCACCTGCCTCTAGATTCTGTGCCAGCTGAGCCTATCTATCTCACCAACTCTTGTTCCACCAGGAAACTGCATCTTGGTGAGTGGGAAGTTTTTGTAACTGTGGACCAAACCTGGGCTTCCCATGTTTTGGGTTGATCTGGTCCTTAGAAGAGCTTTTGGTTTTGTAGAAATGATATGGATGGGGGCGGGGGGAGCCACAGTCTATCCAGTCTCACACGTGAATGAACCAACGGGGATTTGAGAATGGCTTCTAGATCCTGCCTGCCTCTCCAGCCAGCCCCTGGGCTCCCTTCCCCTGCACCTAGCCTGAAGTTTTTCACTATTAACGGCACACCTGGGACAGAAGACAGAGGCGGGTCCTCGCTCCAGGAGATCGCTGTAATAATCAGAGACAAGACCTGGGCTGGGAGGAAGCCAGGACACGGGGGTTGGGGGACTAAGCCCTGACAAATGGAGTGCTCCGTGTGGGGGCTGAAAGGGAAGGAGGAGAGGGAAGGCAAGGCCCTTTAGCTTCACCTCGAAGGTGGGGTCAGGTGAGGCTGGTGGGTCCTGTCTTCTCTGGAGATGCTCCCCAACAAGCACCTGAAGGGAGGAAAGGCCAGCTTCCTGCCGGCCACTTGCAGAGGCGAGCATTCAGTGCTTCTGCCAGCCTGTCCCTCACCCCACACCCACCCGTCCTTCCCATGTCCGATGCTCCCCACGTGGTCCCCCTTATTACCCCGTGCCATTGCAGCAGCCTGCCAGCGGTTTTCTTTCCCCTCCAGTGTGGCTGCCCAAGTTCTCCCCGCAAAACCCACATCTCCTGGCCTGCCAATCCCAGGCTGGAAACTGTTCCATGGCCTCCAGAGCCACTCACAAACCCTTCCCGCTCCCTGCCTGCACCTTAGGCTCTTTCTCTGCCCTTCCTGGCCACACACCTCCCTGACTTTCCCCAAACATGCAGCTCTTTCCATGTCTCTGTGCGTTTCCATTTCCCTCTGCATGGAATACTCCCATCACACCTATCCTTGCCCATCTGCCAAACCCTTCAGGATTCTGGGTCAACATCATCCCCACAGTGGATCCATTGATGAGAGCAGTAATGGAAGCAGGTTTGCCACCAGCCTCCCAAAGAAGTGGGAACACTGATTGCAAAGGGCACAATCTGATTGGATGAAAAGTGAGGCCTCAGAAGCATTGGCACGTGTCCCCAAAGAGCTGGGCTGGAGGTCTGTCCTACAGGAGGGGCAGAAGACGGGGGTGAGAATGGCAGTGCCCCATTTCATCCGACTGCTCTGTGTTCCCCACATCTGACCCAACCTTCCGTTACAACACAGGCACATTTGTGGATACTCTTGGTTACATATGTGTTCTGCCCTCAGACTCTGAGTCTCTTCTAGGAAAAGAGTGTCTTAATCATCTTTGTATTCCCAGAATCTAGTTTAGAGGCTAGTACATAGTAGGTTTGCAGAAAATCTTTGAATAGCGGCCGAGGTGGGAGGATTTCTTGAGACAAGGAATTCAAGACCAGCCTGGGTAAGCAAGACCCCATCTCTACAAAAAATAAAAAATTAGCCAGGCGTAGTGGTGGACGCATCGCAGCTACTCAGGAGGCTGCGGTGGGAGGATCACTTGAGCCTAGGCATTCAAGCTGCAGTGAGCTGTCATCCTGCCAGTGCACTCCAGCCTGGGCAACAGAGTGAGACCCTGTCTCAAAAAGAGAAAGAAAATCTTTGAGTAAATAATATATGTTGAACTTGGAAGTATTCCTTTACCTAGAAGATTGTTCTCTCTGCAAATTTTGTACCATCACTTTCTCCAAAACATAACTCAGGACTCGCCTCCTGGAAAAAGTAGGTTCTGATTGAGTAGTTGACGGTGCATCAGAACGTTACTGAGCACCTATTAGGTACTAGGCATTTTCTAGGCACTGGAGGCCTGTGAGATACAAAAGAGATAAAGGTTCCCATGCCCAAGTTGTTAATGAGTGCCCCCAGCCCATGCGGGCCACTTCCTTATCTGGCAGAATCACTTGGGATGTCTGTAAACACTCAGTGCTCCTGGCATCCGTAGTGCCAGGGACATGGTCAGCAGTCAGATGTGACTCACTGTGTGCCCAGCATTATGAGAGACAGGCATAGAAGGCCTGGCTTTGCATTCAAATAGCTCACAACTTCACTGAGACCAGTTGTTTATGGGATTGCAGGAAGCCCCAGGGAGCCCCAGCCAGGGAAGAGCTTATGTTGTCAATTTCACAGCCTCTAAGAATTCACTGGGTCCACTAGTTCTCTTGCACAGGTGCTACTTTCCAGTTATTTCCTGGTTTTATAAATATGTGTCTCCTTTTTCAACTCCTTCACATGCTCTTTACGGAAAGGGATATCATGGCGTCATGACTAGTGTCTAGCAGCTTGTTTCCCTGATCCTCATCTCAGCACCTGGTACAGGGCAGTGCATGAATGGATGAGAAAGGATCACCACCATTAAGAGGTATTTGTCAGCAAGGTGCGGTGGCTCACACCTGTAATCCCAGCATTTTGGAAGGCCAAGGTGGGTGGATCACCTGAGGTCAGGAGTTCCAGACCAGCCTGACCAACATGGTGAAACCCTGCCTCTACCAAAAATACACAAATTAGCCGGGCATGGTGGCGCACACCGATAATCCCAGCTACTCAGGAGGCTGAGGCAGAAGAATCACTGGAACCCCGGAGGCGGACGTTGCAGTGAGCTGAGATTGTGCCACTGCATTATAGCCTGGGCGACAGAGCAAGACTCTGTCTCAAAAAAATAAAAAACAAAACAAAAAAACAGGAATCCATCACTAGGTCTCTTCATGAGACACAACCAAGAAACACAATGTGAGTGAGTTCAACAGTTCTGGTAGATAAAGGAGAGGGAAGGACTTCTCTCCTAACTTAATGCCTCTCTTTTGCTAAATGTTACTATCAGATTCTGAGTGTTTTCTACAAGAAATTACTGAGATGCAAATCAAGAAGTGTGAATTTAACAAGAGCCAGTTTGTTTCCTACTTTCATTTGGGTGCCTTTTTTTTTTTTTTTTAAACAGGGTCTTGCTCTGTCACCCAGGCTGGAGTGTGGTGGCACAATCATGGCTCACTGCAGTGTCAACCTCCTTGCAGCGTCAATGGCACCTGGCCTGGGTGCCTCTTCACTGGTTATCTGTACCTGTTATTGCTTGGTAGTCTAAGTGTGTGAGATCAATTTCAGGGTTTCTCCAATTCCATGTGAGCTTGTGGTGAGAGAAGAGTGTCCCTGGTCCCTCCTGCTGCTTTTTGCTCTGGTTCCCAGCTTGCTCCTGGTACAACTTCTTCCTAGTCCAGGACAGATTTACTGGAAGTTTCTTTAGAGGCAGTGCTTTAGGGCTTTGGTCTTCATCCGTTGGGTTGTACTGTTTGTCGTTCGTCATGTTTGCTTTGCAGGCCTGGTGGCTAATGCTGCTCGCATTGGCTCACTGCTCTTAGGGCCATCTGTAACCTATATCAACCCCGGATGCTTTGAAGTTCAATGTGCAATAAAAAGTTCATTAAAAAGATGTGGAATCATGAAAATAAGGTTACAGAAATGTTAACAAAGAATCATTTCCTGCTTCTAGTACTTTTCTTTTTTAAAAAATATATTTCTCTGAGAAATTTATGTCACCATTAAAACCATGGAAGAGTTTAGGAAGGACAGGCCTGGGTCAAAATGAGGGTGAGATTCTTGAGGAGATGTCTTGGCAGAGCCCCAGCCTGTTTTCTTAATTGAGAGCTCAGGGTCTAAGGAGAGAAGGTAAGCCAGAAAAAAAAAAAATCTAGGTTTCTCATGACTGACTTTTTTTTTTTTTTTTTTTTTTTTTTTTTTTTTTTTTGAGACAGTCTCATTCTGTCACCCAGGCTGGAGTGCAGTGGCACAATCTCGGCTCACTGCAACCTCTGTCTTCTGGGTTCAAGTGATTCTCCTGCCTCAACCTCCCGAATAGCTGGGATTACAGGCGTGTGCCACCACACACAGCTAATTTTTTTGTAATTTTAGTAGAGACAGGGTTTCACCATGTTGGCCAGGTTGGTCTCAAATTCCTGACCTCAAGTGATCCACCCAGCTCGACCTCCCAAATTGCTGGGATTACAGGTGTGAGCCACCGCGCCCGGCCCTAGCATTTTAAATAGGGATGGCTCTAAATGGATGGAAACAGTCCATGGTCATACAGAGTCTGCAGCCATGTAAGGAATTACATGTAGAATGACATATGGCAGGTGTCTCTTGTCCATGTGAAGTGACTGGGGAGAAAGTGAGAGAGAGAGGAAGAGAGGAGAGAAGAAAATAAAAAGAAGGAAAGGTGTACAGGATGGGGTGGCAGTGTCATTAAAACTGCCTTGTGGCACCATCTGGCTTGTCTACTGCCACACTGGCTCACTTTCTAGTCATGACCTTCTGACACGAGCAGAGGTCCAGAGCCAAGCATCAAGGTCCAGAGCTAAGCCAGAGGTCAAGAGCCAAGGCTCAAGGTACCCCTTGAGGATCCTGGGATCCAAAACACTGCCAGCAGACCAGCCCCTGGCATGACCTTAGGGGTAAGGGTGGTAACCTGTCCTCACAGTGCCCCTGCCTGGGCAGGCACAGAGAGGCATTTGACAAAGCGGGAAATCCCTTGAGGCTCAAGGTGCTGATTTGACAATGACCAAGTGTACTAAGTCACTGCAGAGGTGGACCCATCCAACTCCCTCATTTTGGTTGACTTTGTTAAGGCCAGGCTCCAGTTAGGAGGAGGACTAGGCTTCTCCCTGCACACCATGGGGTCTCCTAGAGAGCCCCAGTTCTGCTGAAGAAAGGGCAGCTACAGATGATCACTCCTGGTAAATATATCATCTTCTCTAATGACAAATGGTGCCACTATCATCATCTTTATTTCTTGGCAGCCTGTCTCTTTCAACAGGTACATATGCTGGCATAACATGTCCTGGGGGCCCAGGCAGTCTCTTGTGGGGAAGATTCCTCTTTTTCTTTTTTTTAAATATATATTTTCATTTTTGTAGAAATGGGGTCTCGCTGTGTTGCCCAGGCTGGTCTCAAATTCCTGGCCTCAAGTGATCCTCCTAGTTCGGCCTCGCAAAGCACTGGGATTATTGGCATGAGCCATCACACCCAGCCAGGTCCCTCTTTTTCACAGGTCCTCCATGTGCAGGCATTGGGGGTGCCCACACATAATACACAACCAGCCCCTGCATCCTTGCTGTCCTCTAGTTTTAGGGGGCAAATATCCCTAGAGGCTCACTCACTTATATGACCATTGATGACCATTTAATTACTACTCATGTTCAATAATAAGCAATTACATGATCATCACTTACTTTTCAGCCAGAGGGTCACCGTGTATACATTTAGCAGCTGCTAAATCTTAGTCCTAACAATGACAGTCCCATATCCTCCCAAGTGACTGTGAGGACCTCAACAGCTTGCACATCTAATAAACAGCACTGCAGGGTTTTCAGGGCTGCCACCGGGCAGCTCTGGGTCACAGCCAGACTTACCCGCTCTCTTTCCACCTGGTTGTGATTCAGCCTCATGAGTTCTGCAAACCTCTGCTCATAGAGGTGAAGCAGCAGCACCAGGTACAAGCCTGAATTCATCAGCTCGTTTTGTGCCTACAAATGGAAAAGAAAGCTCTTCAGTTCATCTGTAAAATAGTCATGGTCTAAATTGTGGGGTGCAGGGTAACAAGGCTAAGAGGTGACAAGAACTAGGACCAGAGCCCAAGCTCCAAGGCAAGGCCTGCTCTTGGGGACCAGAAGACAGAGCAGGAGGAGATCCAGGGTAGAGGCCAGGACCGTCACTCCCCTGGGATTTTTTACTCTCTAGTGGAGGATGCTTTGAGAAAGTTCCATTTTCCAGGCTCGATCCCATTCCACATTTATTGAGCAGTTACGTATGCAAAGCCTTGAGCTGGATGTTGTGGGGAACACAGGGCAACAAGCCTCAGAACTCCATGCTGGGACGCCATCACCTGGTGTGGGGGAGAGAACTTCATCCGTAAACAGCTCCAGTACAAGCTGGATGTCCTACAACAGAGATGCACCAGGCCGTGTCTGTAACGTTCTCAGCAGTCACAGATGTCCCCTTGTGGAAGGCTTCCTGAGGAGCCTTTTTTGCCCCTGTCGTTCCTTTGCTCCCCAGTCCCTAAGCATTCGTCTTGATCTTGCATACCACCTTTTGCACTTAACATTTCCGCTTTTTCTTGAGGAGTGGGCTGTGTTTCGTTTCTCTCACTCGTGCTCAGAACAGGCGCTACACAAGGAGGATGTGATGGTCTGGCTGGCCATGGTGCTTCTGTGTCCTCAGCACTTCGGCTTTGCTGCAAAGAGTGGCTGTGCTCACTCTAGACCTTTCACAGACCTTCCACAAATCAGCGGTGTTAGTAACAACTACTCCTATCCCTCTATAGGGGACGGAGGGGAAGGCCCTTTCAGTCCCCGTCTTTCCCCTGAGTGGGGGTCTTGGGATGGGCCAGGCGGTGCTCACAAAGCCACCCAGCCCCCGGGGACTGGAGTTCCCAGCAGAGGGCATGGCCCCTTCTGTCACCCTTGGGAAAGGTTGCAGCTGTGACTCTGTCGGTCCAGGATAACGAAGGGTGGGCATGAATGACACAGTGAGCGCTCAGTGTCTTGGCTGCCTCCTTCCTGCAGCAGCGCGGGTGCCACATCTCCCCGTTCTCATTAGATCCAGCGCAGCTCAGGAGGTTGGCACAGAACCCACCTCTCCCAGGACCAAGCAGCTGCCAGAAAAGGCACAGAAGTTGAGGAAGGATTGATGCGCTCTTCCTTCTGAATCAGGGCCAACTCTGGATCTTGGTGACAGCTGGCCCTGAGGTCACCGCTGCAGGCCTCTCCACCATTCTACAGATCCATCTTCGAAGGCCCCAATCCTCTGTCCTTAGCGGTTAGCCTCCTATTTTTAGCCTTTGGTCGTGCTTTTTTGTGCTCTGCTGACCTTGGCCTAGGGCGAGCAAAGAACAAGTTGCTTGTTTTCACTTTTTCTGTTTTATTTATTTTATTTTTGAGACAGAGTCTTGCTCTGTCGCCCAGGCTGGAGTGCAATGGCGCGATCTCCGCTCACTGCAACCTCCGCCTCCCAGGTTCAAGCAATTCTCCTGCCTCAGCCTCCCGAGTAGCCGGGATTACAGTTATGCACCACCACGCCCAGCTAATTTTTGTATTTTTAGTAGAGATGTGGTTTCATCATGTTGGCCAGGCTGGTCTCGAACTCCTGACCTCAGGTGATCCACCTGCCTTGGCCTCCCAAAGTGCTGGGATTACAGGCATGAGCCACCCTGCCCAGCCGCTTTTTCTGTTTTAATTGCCTCCTCCTGCCCTCCCCATGAGTCTGTGCCTGCCTCCAACTGTCTCGCCAACCACCTCTTCTGAGAATCCTTTCTCACCTGGCTTTTAGCTCCTCCTCACCAACCAAGCCTTGGCCCTTGTTTGTTTTCCTCAGCCCCAGCTTCCTCCTGCAAAAGCTGCCAGTGGTTCTCTCACCAGTGCTCTTTGCCAGCCAGCTTTTATCCTGGAGACACTCGGATGCATAATGGCAAATCAATCAGCTAGAAAAGGGCTTGGAACTATCAGGTTTGTCAAAGCATTCAGGGAAATCATTTACTTTTTATGACTCAATAAGGCCCAGAGGCATGCAGATGGGAAAATATCCACTAATGTTTTCTGCAGATAATTTGAAAAGTCACTTCTAGCAGATTGTGTCTCTTCTCTGGTCTGTGGGAGGGAACCTGTCACACGGTGCCATCAATCTCGCCGGCTCGGTTCCTTTATGTGCGCCCTTTGCAGAGCTGGTGATGCTCGACAAAGGGGCTCAGCCCACCAGTCAGAGCAGGCGTGTGATAGTCAACTCCGAATCAGCCTTTATACTCCTGAGCTACAAGTGGGAGGCATTTGTTAACTCAAAGAGTTCCACTGCACTTGGCCGGCCAGGGCCAAATGAACGAGGTTTTGGAGCAGTGCTTATGGGAGCTATGGCCGATCCACTCCTTCCTTGTCCCAATCACGTCACACTTTGACTCCCACGTGGAGTTCCCTTTGTGTGCCAGACTGAAGGGAATGGGGGTGGCATTAATAGGAGGGGACGGGGACATTAAAAAGGAGAAGGCATGTGAAACAGTGCACAAGCGCTCCAGAGATCTCAGCCCACCTGCCAGTTGTTTTCTCCATTTTGCTAATATTCATTTAGGCCAAGAGACTTGCTACTGGTGGAAATTCTCAATATATTCCACTTAAAGAAGCTGACGGCCTGGCTGAACGTTCTATCAAGTCTTCAGATATGTTCAACAGTGCTCCCAGGTATAAGGGTGATTAGGTGACTGCGTGTGTCTGAGGACATCTGTCCTTGGCTGAGATGGAGCCAGGCCAGGCCTGTGCTTCAGAGCAATGACAGCCTGAGGCCCACTGAGACTCTCCTGTGTGGCAGAGCAAGGGCGGCAGGGGTGCGTTCCAATGCACAGCGAGCAATGGAGTGCGCCTTACTTGGAAAGTGCTTCCGGCTGAGGTGGGCAGTGTAGGGCCACTGGACACTGTGACTTTAGGCAGAGTTTTAACTGTGCAGGGCCAAAGTGACTCAACTTCTAATGGAGGAGAAGTAACCTCTGTTCTGCCTGTTTCCCCAAAGCGTGGTAGTAAAGTAAGCTAATATATGGGATCTCACAAAAAAACCACATCCTACAAGAGGCAAGATTTAAAGACAGGATTCCAGGTAAATTGGGTGTAAGATCTTTGAGAGCAAGGCCTGCATCTGTCTTGTTTGCTCCTGACTCCTAGTGCCTGGTATACTGTGCATGCTCTATAAATATATGCACAGATGAAGTAATGAGAAAAAAATGCAAAATTCTGATGGATTATACAGTGACCCATTCAGCCACAACGTTTGAATCTAGTGGCTCCAGCTTTAACGTGCATCAGAAATGCTGAGCAGCCCTTTTCAAACACAGTTGCTAGGCAGTCCCTTCCCCTCCCCTCCCCTCCTCTCTCCTCCCCCTTCTCCTCTTTTCTTGAGACAGAGTCTCACTCTGTCACCCAGGCTGGAGTGCAATGGTGTTATCTGGGCTCACTGCAACCTCTGCCTCCCAGGTTTAAGGATTCTCCTGCCTCAGCCTCCCGAGTAGCTGGGATTACAGGTGTGCGCCACCACGTCCAGCTAATTTTTGTATTTTTAGTAGAGATGGGGTTTCACCATGTTGGCCAGCCTGGTCTCGAACTCCTGACCCCAAGTAATCTACCAGCCTCGGCCTTTCAAAGTGTTGGGATTACAGGCGTGAGCCACTGTGCCCAGCTTCACTGCTCCTCCTTTCTTCCCTGCAGTTCTGATTCAGTTGGACTGGAGTGGAGCCCAAGAATGTGTCCTTCCGACAAGTTCCCAGGTGATGCTAATGCTGCTGGTTTGGGGACCACCCATTTTTGAGAACCACTGTTCTAAACTAAGGGTGAGCACTTGGTAGCTGCTAAGCTGAATCTGGCCTGTGGATGTGCTCTGGTTGGATGGAAGGAAGCAAGAAGGAAGGTAGAAAAGAAGAGCACCACCATCTTTAGTTGGGGAGAGCGCTTTTCATTTTGCCACAAATGCCACCATGCCCAATGGCAGGATACCTAGAAGATTACCATCATTTGTTGTCTGCCTGGGCTCTATGGTATTTGAGTGTGTAACCTGTGACCTAAACTTTCCTTAAACCTGTTTTATCCTCATCCATTTTGGAGGCTGGAATGTTATTTGGATCGCTGCATGCTGGTATCCAGGAGTTCTGCCCTCCACCCCAAATCCAAGCGCCCAACTAGAATCCAGTATGAGTCCTGCTTCCAGGCAACAGCCAACGCTCACAGGAGCAAATGTAGGCCGGCCTCACACACGGCACTACCGAAAGAGTCAGGGGAAAGGAGGGCTGTACTGCCCCAGGCCCTGACAGACCTGAGATGAAACCGCCAGGTCCCTGGGGCCCCACAGCTGCTCTTGTCTAATGATCCCCTCTCCAGAGGCTTGTAGGAGTTCCTAATCTAGCCGCTTGAGGCCTGGTAGCAGGCCTTGACCTTGGGGCCCGTACTGGAGCCCTGTTAGCGCCTGTGAGCAGCATCTGCTCTGCTCCCACCAGAAGTACAGAACTAAGGTAGAAAAACGTGCTCTGATGGCGGCCCCTTCACACCCTCAGAGGCCACCGACAGTGCTGACCGGGCAACTACAGGACACGGTCTGATCTGTGCTCAGGTCCCAGGTGGGGCGTCCATCCCAGATGTCACAGACTTCACTCCAAGGCCCGGTGGATAGAAGGCCCAGTGGATAGAAGGCCCGCTCCTCTCTTTCCTTCCGCTTTTAAACATCTCTTCTTCAGAAGGGCCTTCTCTGGTTCGGAGAGCAAGTTGGAGCCCCACAGCTGTTCTCCCAGCGGCCTGCACGGTCCTCGTTCTGACCTCCACCCGCAGGGATCGCTCACTCCAGTGTTTGCTGCTGGTTGTACCCCCTCCAGGTCTTGGGTACCGGCAGCATTTCCAGCACAGTAGCTCACAGGCAGCGGGTGTTCAGTAAGTATTTGAAAAGTCAGTTAAACTGGCTGGGTGTGGTGGCTCACACCTATAATCCCAGCACTTTGGGAGGGAGG